CCTCCTCAGCAAGATTCCTAATAAACTGTTCCTTGTCCCTTCTTAACAGAGACTGAGTTCTGCGCACCTGAGAACGGTACAAATCCCGATCCCCTGCCAGACGAGCAGCACGGCAAGCATCAGTGGCTTCCAGTATCTCCTGAATTGAATTCTGTCTTGCTCTCGGGCGTTCTCCAATCGATTCTTGGGCTGCATCAAGTGTTTCACGCTTTAAGGTGTCCCACAGAAGTACAAGGTCTGTCAGATTGCCAAGCGCTGTGAACCAATCAGAGATTGTCTCAGCAAACCTCCAAGCACACTCCCTCTCCTTCAGCCTGTCCAGATGAAACACCCTAGGGTGGTCATTGGGCCGCTGGGGAGTTTTGAAGTGTACCTGGAGGGTAGCCACAACCAATCTATGGTCAGTACCACAGAACTCAGCACTCCTATACACCCTGCAGTTCTGGAGGATCCTCTAACGAGTGCTAACGAGAATTTGGTCGATCTCCTTGGCTGCATTACCCGCATCGCTGTACCATGTCCAACGATGTGGGTCTAGGCACTGGTACCAGGAGCCAGAAATCCTCAATTTCTGGGATCTAGCAAAATCCCGTAAAAGGAGGGAATTCTCGCTCCCGGTATCAACTCCTGAACCATGAGGACCGACTGACATCTCATAGCCAGCTCGATCGCAGCCAGATACCGCATTGAAGTCACCCAGAACAATACGAATATCTCACCGGGGACAACTGTCTGCCACAGATGCAAGTTTGGCGTAGAACATCTCTTTCACGTTAAGTTTACAAACACCAGTAGGAGCATACACAGCAATTAGAGACATGAAGCCAAAAGACAGTTTCAGTCTCATTACCATTATACGCTCATCGACTGGAGTGACCTCTACCACAGGGGGCTGGAACCTACTGGAGACAGCTATGGATACTCCCTGGAGATGATGACCATCGCTGCGGCCTGACCAGTAATAGGTGTAGCCACCTACACTGGTCGTGCTGCTGCCAGGTTTTCTCACCTCCGAGAGAGCAGCCACCCCTACTCTCAGCCTACCCAATTCCCTCGATAGCAGGGGCAACCGATCATCCTGACACAAAGAGAGGACGTTCCAAGCTCCCACCCTGACTTCCCGCCTAAGGTTAACCCTCGGGTAGTCGCTCCGGGTGGATGCCACCTCTGCCACCCCCGCCGACGCTGCCCCACATAAAAGGCTGCAGGCTGCGGGACCCTTCATCCACCTGTGGGGTTCCCTAGGGCTTTGCCCCACAAGCTTCATATTGGGCTGGCGGCTGCCAGGACACAGGCAGGACAAGGAGCTCCCGTTCCTATTCCGCGCCCCAGCAGCCACCCTCCCAACGGGGCCCACAGCCCACCTCTCTCGCTGGGTTGGAGGGACATTACCCCTCCCCTCAGCATTTCCGTTTACCTGGTACGCTGCCAGTGGGTTATTCTCTGGGGGGAGAATATATATGTTATATATATCATTTATAATATCTGCAGAAATGCAAATTACAAGATGAAAAAAATAAATGTTTTTTATCTAACTGCTAATTTTTAGAAGAAATAAGACATTATTAACATTTCGTAGCATTGCCCTTATAATTCAAATATTCTGCTGAAATCTTAGCTTTCATTTCAGTTTGCCTTCATTCAATGAAATCCCCCTCCTTGTTGCCCCTTACTAACCACAAAAAATCTATCACATATAACTCCCAGTACATCAACCGTTGTATATAATATCTGAGCTTAGTCTCATAATTCTGAACTACATGTATTTCATTTACTTTAAAGTAGTGGGTCTTTACCCATATGCAGCCAGAAATGGTATGTGTGTACATGCCATGCCCACTATGTGTTTGATTTAGTAATTGTTTTTACTTATAGATGGCTCCACAAGTACAAAGTTGCCAATGACAAGAACTACCTGTCTCACTTTTTACCCTTCTACTTGATTTTTTATATTTTCTGGTATTTAATATTGCTGTTAGCAACTTCAATGACACTATAGTAATTATGATATAATATTGATAGCATTAGTAAAAAACTTTTCTTGCAAACTCACAGAAAGGTGAAATCAAGTGAGGTCACAAGGTCTACTAATTGACTCCTTTGCAGCTAAGCACTGGCAGAGCCATCTATGTGCAGTGACATTTAACAAAACAATATTGAAGTGAAGACATTTTCCCGGGGGCTCTGGTTTAAGGCAAGCAATGCAACACCAATGTTTCAAAACAGTGGTCTACATTGTAGTTTTGATTACATTTATAACATCCAGCGATTATAAAAGCAAATATGTAAGATTGATTTTTTATAATTTCACCTCTTGATATAAACTTAAAACTATCTGAAAAGATCTTCGGTCATCAGTAGCATTTTAGGGAAGACCCTTCATACAGAAAGAGAGTGATGCATACCTCACTTTGAACTATCTTGAGACAAGTCAATGAAGGAATCCTGGTAATCAGTCATCATCAGGTCTATGACTCCTGTACTTAATATCTGAACTTAC